AAAAGTTTTAATTTCAAACCATCCTTTGTGGTTACTTCAAGTCAGTGTGGCTTAGTTTGTTGAACTTTGTCCCATGCATCAGGAGGTGAGGGCAAAGGCCCGGTTTCAAATTCAATTCTAGTAGGAGGGCAGGCGGTAGGCAGCTAATCTCTCTCTCTCTCTCTCTCTCTCTCTCTCTCTCTCTCTCCCCCCTTTTCCTTCCTCTCTCTGAAATCCAGAACTAAAATAAATAATCAAGCATTTTTATTAAAAACACAACAAAAAACCCTTCCTAACTGTTGGATAGCCATCAAGGAGTTGCTGGAGATAAAGAAGAATATGTGAGCAGTAACTGCCTGCGACTTCCCTCCTCAGGACTTTATTTCAGGAAACATACTGGTGGGGCCACTGCTCCATTCACTTGTCCTGCCTCAGCCTCTGTGGACCCCACTGCAGGTCATGTGTGTGCTCCTCGGCTCCCTCCAGCTCAGCCCAGCACCAAACCTACCTACTTACTTCTGTGTCCAACACAGATCCTTCGACGCATGATTCCAAGTGAATGTACTGGTTCCTCCACTCCTGCAAAGAGAGGAGAGTCATTACTACATCACATTAAGTCAGTGAGAGTTAAATGCCTGAGTGAGTGAAAGAAATTCTGAGTGAATAAGATTTAATAATAGACCTAAATGACCACAGATAACTGCTGGTGGCTTAGCAATATGAGATGCAGAATGGTGCCAACCGCACACAGGACAATAGCACAGCGTCCCCTAGTGGAGCAGTGGGACTGGGAAACAGGACAGCATGTTTTGTGGCAGGAGAAACAAGGGAAACGCAGAATTTATATTTATCTGTTATCTAGGAGGGCTTTTTCTGGAAAAAGCAGCCGCCTTGGCTAAGGGATATGTTTAGACCTCTCAATGCCACATACAAGCAAAACATGGCACAGACGCTACATGACAAGGATTGTCTAATGAGGATGAGATTTCCTATAAGAATAAAGGGTAAATGGGGACACTTTGGAATTCTTATCTGAAATGGTTAGGTGGGGTTCTAGGCAGAGTGCAAGAGCCTCTAGTTCCTATGTGGTTAATTAGTTTGCTGATGCTGTTCTCTTGGTGCCTGCCCAAGTTACCTCCCAAAGTTCCTTACTGAGAATGAAAACAAGTGTTTTTCTCTGGGTTGACCAGTGAGCCAGCAAATACATAGTGTGTTTAAGGCACAGCCTGGGAATGGGGATCAGTGAGGTGTGGGGAA